TAATGTATGCATGGTTATAAGCGACGCGTTTCTTAAAAGGCCTGATAGCTACTTCAGAGATGACCTGGCAAAAGAAAATAGCAGCTTCGAATCCAGCTTTTCTTATGAGAGAATCTTAAGGGGTAGGCATGACTGTTGACAACATAATTTGTTCCAACAGCTGATGGTTTAAATTGTGCAGGGGGAGGGGGACATATTACGGTCGAAATTTTATTTCATGAAAGACAGTTTATCACGAAGGACTAATCCTGCAAAATTTAATAGTTAAGCACTAAAACTGTAATCACCTCCCCTTCTTTTCAAAACAAAGTAGATCTATTCTTTACCTTGCTTGTTTACTATGCTCAGATCACAGCTACCACAGGCGCAATCTCTATCGGCTCCTGGTATTATATGGCCAATATTTTTCTTTATACAGCTGCTAGATGTTTTGATTGTGGATTTTAAAGTTCGATCACTGAGCTTCAGGGAACTGATTTAAGGGCTGTCCTATTAATTAGGTACAACGAAACGTTTTGCCGGTTAAATGCATTAGCTAGCAAATTTATTTCGACAACTCAAAGTTTTCAGCGCTTCTCTCTGAGTTCAACATTTTAGATTAAATTCTTAAAATGTTTTGAAAAATGTATCTTATTGCTTGAAAAGCGGCTAATGAACTGATCATTCAAATGACTTTCCAGTTGATCTGGATCAAATGTTTTGATTGTTTATCATTTCTTCTCCTTTTCAGATACAGATACTGACAAAAGCTCATACAAAATCACGGTCGGGTTGTCGGTGTCGGGATGCTTGGTTTTCATCGCCATCATCATATGTGTGTGTTGGTTTTGCTGTAGGGGATGAACTCAGGCCTCGAAAGTCAATGCAGATCTATCCAAAGTTGCCTTTTTGACCTTTTACATAGCGCACTTAGAGTTAAGCTGAAAACGCTACATACGAGATGAATTAAGTCAAATGTTTGTAGAGCTTCTTTAATTAAAATTGTGTAAGGACAAGCCTTTGCCTAACTACTTATTTAAAAGGAAACGTGAAAAAATGGGCGAGCGAAACATGGTGTAAGCGATAGCCTATTACAAGCTATACAAAGACTCAAACCAGGATTCTAGCCATAAATCGATTTATGCTCGAACTAGTTAATAAGTTAGGAGAATATGCTTATTTTCCTACCCTTTGCCGCGTTCAAACTTCTAATGGATGGAGCCTTTAGTCAACACCCCATAGACGAAGATTTTCACGTCTTTTACCATGAGTTATAAAACCCATAGCTTTCTTTCTCTTCAAAATACATTTTTCGTGAAAAAAATCAAAAATT